AAAAAAAAAAGAAGAAGAAGTGTATCTCAATTATATTGAACAGGATCAAAAGTATTATCTTTTTACAACCAAACACAGCTCATTATTAACTAATCTCATCAGTAGAAAGAACATAATCTAATACACAGGAGCAATTGTTTTATACCTGTGTGCGTATGTAGTTTACTATACTTGCAATTCAGTAATAATAACTACTGTTTTGCTTTGAGTATACTTTATAAAATGGCTTTATAGATAAAGCTATTAAACGATTTAAAAAAAAAAAAAAAGTACTGCAAACTTACATTTAGTTTACTACTTTCTATTGAGAGATTGTAGTCCATCCTCTACATGACTAAGCCCGTGATTGGGTGAAACGCATCAGTGGGGCAGACCTTGGGCAGGACACCAGCGGTGTGGTACAATCAACTATCCCAGTGGAATCCGGTGTGCGGCCAGTTTTTCTTCTGTTTGTACAGGTTCATTTAAATGTGCAATTTTTAGAGGAGGGCCCATTCATACAATTGCATTACCACATTGCATGGCAATGCATGAAACAGTGTTAAACGTTGCGCTGCACAACACAACTAGACAGTGCAGCAAAAACACACTTGCGTCATGACACACTGCAATGCTCGGATGTCAACAAGGCGTGTATTGCGATGCGTTGCAGTATAAGAAAAATGCTGCATGTTTGTTAAATTGTATGTTGCTGTGCGTCCGCAGATGTGAATTCCTTCCTGAAGGTAAACTCCACTAATATACTTTTTCATCACATGCTTAGTTTAAATTGCTCAGATTTGTGACAGCTTTGCATTACGAACCCAGTAACAGCTACCACAAACCGCCTAACAGCTGCATCACTCATCCAGGGGGAAGGGATAGATCTTACAGCAGCAAGTACATGCTTGTTTCTTACGACACTCACAATCTTACAGAATGCTTCCTTAAAAGAAATTTGTTCCACAAGCATTCCAGAGCGCTCTAAAGATTGATAGATGTGCGCTCCATTAGTCCAAATTCAAACATTGGAATATCACAGTTAGACCTGTAATTACTGACAATACTCAACAGGGAGATATCTATGCTTCTCCGAGTATGAGCTGTTCAAAGATTCGTAACGTCTAGACCCAGTGTATGTGCTCCAAATCTTAGGGACAGGAAGTCATCAGCTCACTAACTTTCCAGCAGATCAACAGGTATTTTTTGCACTTATTGAAGAGATATAACAAAACACTTTCAATTATACACAGTATAACAGACCAAAAGGGAGCATCGTTGTAAGGGTTCACATACACTTTAAATCCTATCTCCATCCAGTAGCTGAAACTAATCTTAAAGCTCCCTCTTACCCTGTAGAGTCCAGTCCTGTTTTTAAAGTGCAACTGTCTATAAACACTGTTCAGATGTGAGTTAGGGCCCGTTCACACCAGATGCAGTGCATCAAAATAGTACTTGCACCATTTTGATTGGACCGGCTTGCAGGCATAATGTGCCTTGCGATCATCCCGCGCGGCCGGAGCGTGTGGCTACGATGACATTCACTTC